ATTTATTCTTTCTATCATTAGTTCACAAAACTCTAGACATCAATGGTCTTCCAGAACGTGAGTTGTCTTCAACGGATTCTCGTCCTTTTTGAAACTTCTTAAACCACTCAAACGTACTTGTTTTCAATAAACAGTCATCGTCATAAGCTTGCAACATTTTAAATGCGAAATGAAATTTCGTTCGCAACACAAAATTTTAAACAAGTTCTTTGTTCCATATTTTTTGACATCGTAAAAATTGCCGTGCACGACAATCTTCACTGACATAAATAACTGCCACTTTCCAACGGCTTGAAGGAACGCCATGATTTTTCACAAAATGTGAAGGACATGTGTACCAACTTAAGAAAGCAATCAGATTTGATTTACAGTTTACCCACAATTTTTGAAAAATAAAGTTCGGATACTTTTTGATCACAATAGTATAATATATACAGGGTGTCCCATTTAACCTGACAAATCGTAATATCTGGAAAACTACATGTCGGATCAAAAAAAGTGGGTAATGAGATTTGTTCATCTCGAAGGGGCACATCCAATGATATCAAACTCGACCTCCCACCCCACTCCCTGGGGGTGGGGGTGGAGGGCAACTTTGAAATCTTAAATGGGAACCCCCATTTTTTATTGCAGATTCGGATTCTACGCCACAAAATACGTAAGTTTCGTTCGAAACTTTGTTTTGATTCGTGATAGATGGCGCTGTAATCGCAAAAAATTAGATTTCCTGCAATTCTCCAGAAATGATCATTGGATTGAAAAATAAAAAAATACCTGTTCAATATTTTCAAAAATATGTTTAAAAAACATAATAACAGTTATTCCCCCCTCATCCCCTCGAGGTAGGGTGGGTGGTAACGTTCAAATCTCAAATGAGAACCCACATTTTTCATTCAATTTATGGAACTTCATAATTCTCCAAACACTCATACAAGGAATTCCTGATTGGTGCGAAATTTCTCGGACGCTCGCATGTGGATTATGAGCCCCTGCAGTTAGTACTGATATTTGATTATTTTCTTCACAAACAGCAGCTCTACGTTTTTTTCTTCAGTTGTACACTTCCATCAGTACAAAACTGTGTAACAACTCTAACGAAAGAAGAACGTGATCATACTCTTTCAGGAAAACGCTCAGCATACAAATTGATAGCATAGTCAAAATTTCTCCTACATTCGCCATAAATGAAAATCATTTCAATTTTTTCTTGCATAGTTACATAATCCATGATGCAAAGTCAGAAGAGAATGATAGTGGCATGGAACACTCTTCAAAAATTGATTAAGCACCTCTCCTTAGATTAGAAAGGTAAGTGTCTAATAATGATCGTCTCTTAAGTTCTATGGGCGCGGACGATGAAGAGATGTCACTAACAAATTAATTATGCAAAATCACCCCGACGGTGAGAGGCTAGGGGATTCCTAAAACAAGCACCCCGAAGGGAATAGAAAGCTACTACGTCCTCGTCGTTCCTGGGTAACGCTAAAAGTAGTTTCTCGGAAAAATTCAACGCTATCTATCACGAATGAAAAAAATTGTTTCCATAAAAACTTCACGTAAAATCTAATTCTGCAATGAAAAATGTAGGTTCTCATTTGAGATTTGAACGTTACCACCCACCCTACCCCGAGGAGATGGGGGAGAATAACTGTTATTACGCTTTTTAAAAATATTTTTTAAAATATGGAACAGGTATTTTTTTATTTTTCAATCCAATGATCATTTCTGGAGAATTGCAGAAAACCTAATTTTTTGCGATTACAGCGCCATCTATCACGAAACAAAAAAAAAGTTTCGAACGAAACTTACGTATTTTGTGGCGTAAAATCTGAATCTGTAATAAAAAATGGGGGTTCCTATTTAAGATTTCAAAGTTGCCCCCCACCCCCACCCCTGGGAGTGGGATGGGAGGTCGAGTTTGATATCATAGGATTCCCTTTCGAGACGAACAAATTTCATTACCCACTTTTTTTGATCCGACATGTAGTTTTCCAGATATTACGATTTGTCAGGTTAAATGGGACACCCTGTATATTGGGTCTGGGAAAAAGTTCGTGGCGTTTTCCTCGATAGATGGCGTCAATTGCAAATAACTCAGAACACACGGATCGCAGCGACACCACTAAACGCTCGTTGGAAAGGTGACACTTCGAGCGTTACTTTGAATGTATAAACATCGAAATTGGTGCAGTGGTTGGAAAGTTGTTTGTGTTTGAAAATAGAGAAAAGTAATGAAAAATTGCGCTATATTTTGCAATATTATTGGGTGAAGTAAAAAGTTCTGAGCGTTTTTTCTCTTTATTTCAACGATGAAATTAACAAAGTTAGGATTATCGGATTTAGATCCGATTATCCGAGATTATCGGATTATCAAATATGCGCCGTTTTGTTCGACAACTTTTGTCCATTTTGAAGGCAATTTCATAATTCCGCGATTGAAGAAGTCCTCGTCCCTATTGGTAAAAAACTTGACCAGCTTATTTTCACAAGCCTCTCTTGAGGCCAGTTTTGTACCATCAAGAAAATTTTGCAAATGCTTGAAAAGGTGATAATCGCTTGGAGCCAGGTCTGGGCTATACGGCGGGTGCGATATAACCTCCCATCCAAGCTCTCGGAGCTTCTGGCGCGTCGTCAAAGATGTGTGCGGCCTGGCATTGTCTTGATGGAACACAACATCCTTCCTATTGGCCAATTCTGGCCGCTTCTCGTCGATCGCCTGCTTCAATCTGGTCAGTTGTTGACAGTGTAGGTCCGAATTGAGTGATTGGCCCGATGGGAGTAGCTCATAGTGGATGATTCCCTTCCAATTCCACCAAACACATAGTAAAACCTTCTTGGCCGTTAATCCGGGCTTGGCGATCGTTTGGACCGGCTCACCGCGCTTGGACCACGATCTTTTTCGCCTGTTATTCTCGTATGTGACCCATTTTTCATCCGTCACCATCCGCTTAAAAATGAGTCGATTTCGTTACGCCTCAGCAAAGAATCGCAGGCATGAATTCGGTCCAAAAGGTTCTTTTGCGTCAATTCGTGTGACACCCATACATCGAGCTTCTTCTTGAGACCAGCCTTATGCAAATGGTTCCAAACGGTTTTCTGGCTAACCTTCAGTTCCTGGGCAATGGAATAAGTGCTCGCATGCCGGTTCGACTCGACGATTTCCATGATTTTATCGACATTTTCGACGATTGGCCTACCAGAACGTGTCTCATCTTCGACATCCATATTACCAAAACGGAATCGTTGGAACCACCACTTTGCTGTTGCATTAGATATTATATTGGGTCCATAAACAGCACAAATTTTTTTGGCCGCCTGCTCCGCTCTTTCCCTTTGATCGTAGTGGTACTGAAGAATATATCGAATTTTCTCTTTTTTTACCTCCATTTTGGAACGCTCTAACATATAACTGGCTTCACCAAACACAAAACTGTCAAAGAACTTTTTTTAAAGCGTTATGTCACCTTTAAGTCGCAGTACAGAATGACCAGATGCGACGTATACATCGTGAGATATGACCTCACTAAAGCCATGTAGCGGAAAATGCTCAAAACTTTTTACTTAACCCAATATTACGACAAAGAGAAGAACTCTGCGCAGGCTTGTGAAAAATGTGTGCTGTGTACGGTGAAGGTACTTTATCAAAATGTGCTGCGCGGAAATGGTTCGCTCGCTTTCGTTCTGGTAATTTTGATGTGAAAGATGAGTCACGCTCTGGTCGTCCAATCACTGAAAAAGCTGATGAAATTCTTGAAAAAGTCCAGCAAAATAAGTATATCAGCAGTGTCGATATTGGTATGGAGCTAGGCATTGACCACAAAACTGTTTTGAACCATTTACACAAAGCTGGCTACAAAAAGAAGCTCGATGTATGAGTTCCTCATGAGTTGAGCGCGAAAAACATGATAGACCGAATTAACATCTGCGATGCGCTGCTGAAACACAATGAAATCAAGCCATTTCTGAAAAGTGTCATAACCGATGATGAAAAATGGATCACATACGACAATCGGAAGCGTAAAAGATCGTGGATAAGGGATGGTGAGTCGTCACAAGCATTCGCGAAGCCAGGATTGACGCCGAAAAAGGTGATGCTATGTGTGTGGTGGGACTGGAAGGGAATCGTCCACCATGAGCTACTTCCAGTTGGTCAGACCATTGATTCTCAACTCTACTGTGGACAACTAGAGAGATTAGGCCAGGCAATTGAAAGAAAACGGCCCGAATTGAATAATAGGAAAGATATTATCTTCCATCATGACAACGCCCGACCACACACTTCTTTGATGACCCGTCAAAAATTGCGAGGGCTTGGTTGGGAAGTTTTGATGCATCCACCGTATAGTCCAGACATAGCACCTTCTGACTATCACTTGTTCCGATCTCTGCAGAACTCTCTCAATGGAATTAAGCTGGTTTCAAAAGAAGCCTGTGAAAACCACTTGATTCAGTTTTTCAACCAGAAACCACAGAAATTCTTCACCGATGGCATCATGGCTCTACCCGAAAAATGGCGAAACATTGTCGATAATAATGGAGCATATTTGGTTTAAATAAATTCATTTTCACACTATAAGAAAACCAATTGAATTTTACTAAAAAAACGCCACGAACTTTTTCCCAGACCCAATATATGCATTTGCGATATTCGCAATAGTTATCAAGTTATTAATTATAAAAATCTGACGAGTGAACGCGCAACGGGATGGTACTGGAAGAGCAGTTTAAGTTTAGCGTAGCACAGTCGATCTAGCAATTGTTGCCGATGTGCGACAAAATATAGGAGCGACGAGATAAGAATAAAGCACCACGTTGTCCTTCGCCGCACGCCGACAAAAGTTGTTGGATCGATTAAACTGCACTAAACTCGGAGGTTTCTCTTAATATCATATCGGTGTGCGCTTACTTATCAAATTTTTATAATTAATAACTTGATAATTATTGAGAATATTACAAAATGATATAGGATTTTTGGGTTTGTCTTAATCCGCCCTATGTCCTCATAGCAAGTTAAGGGACACCTGCATATATTAAACGTATTATTTTATTTGTGTAACTTAAGATCACTTTAATCTTTATAGGTTATACTTACTTTTATTTTGACCTCGTTACCAAACCAACAGTAAATGAAAATCTGCGATAACATACAGGCCGTGTATAGTATTAATGGCACGATATTCACGTCGATTGTCGCCATAGCCAATTGAAATAAATTAGAGCACACCACTAATGTGCTCACTCCGAACTGGAGAGCGATTATCTTCACAAATTGACTATTGACCGTATATGCGTATCTACGATTAGTTTAGTGAATTTTAATCTATTTCCTGAGACAGAAATGATTTGTTGTCGTTTTTAATATATTTTTAATATATGTACAATGGAAAACAAAACGGTTTCACCAGTTCTTTTTCTTTGCAGCAACATTGGTAATCCGTGTAGTTATAAATTTAAGAATTACTGCTCAAGGACTTGCAAAAGAGAAAGAGAAAGAGAGAGAGAGAGAGACCCGCGATCTTTTAGTTTGGGCAGTTTGGTTAAGCAGTGATTCTTAAATTCACAACTACACGGATTACCAATGTCACTAGAAAAAAAAACTGTCGAAACCGTTTTGCTTTCCAATGTATATATAGCGCATTATTTCATAGTTTCAATCATTTTTAAATCATGTCGGGATGAAAAGGAGAATCTAGTTAGATGTAAATTTAGTGGAATCATAAGAAACTTCAATAGCAACTAACTCAAATATACGGTCGTGATGACGTACACATTCAGGCAGGACATGATGTTTCTGCGGGATTTGCATTAACCGATATTCCAAAATCTCGAGCTGGCAACATATATGCAGCAAGAGTCCGCATATCAAGCTGTCACAAGCGACGTTTACTGTCGCGCCAATTACCACGGCTATTGTTTGGTGAACATATACGAGGAAGAATAAAGCAGGTGCCGTGTAATTGAACGGCAGCCACGCTGGATAGGTTAAGCTTCCTCTCATAAAATCCACGAAGACAGACGTAAAAATCATGCATACGACAGTAGTCATGACGAGTAATAAATACCATAGCATGGTGTTCCTACGAATTGACTGTGAAAATTGTTAGGTTCATTTGCATTTAACGCAGTATTCAAAATGTTTTATTTTTGTACTTAAAGTATTAAAAATAATACTAATAAAAATTATTATTATTTTAATAAAAAAATTATTATTTTAATACTATTAAAAATAAATATTATAAAAATACTCATCAAGCACAGTGAGCGTTCCATAATTACCATATCCGCAATTGGAAGATGATACTTACTGTGCAATTTTGTCATATTTTTTCCGAATCGTTACCTCGCTCGATTCTATAGGCGCGAAAGGTTCGTTCATGAGACAAGTGATTATTCCGGTAACATTTTTGCAACTTAGCCACATGATAATTACTTTAGAGAAGGCCACAGACATAGTTAGCATCATATATATGGTATTAGCAAATACTTCGGAATTATCAATATTCAATATAATATTCATAAGCTGAGTTATGTTAAACGTAAACAATACCGAAATCAGTAACGCTCTATAAACGTTGTACATTATATGTTTAAATATCGATATCCAAGTAAGTGGTTGCCAGCATCCAGCGATCGCGCAAATAGTTAAGGTAAATTGCAGCACATTCATTTTATTTTGGCCGAAGTAGTTTTTTTTTACACCAAGCGATAACAATTATGATATAACGATATAATTGTACTTTTTGACATGAGGCCTCTTGATGTTTACGTACACCTAATCACAGATACTTCTACAATCACTTTGTAACGACATATAACAATTATCACTCGACTTCGAACGAACAAAGCATATCCCGAATGTCTACAGTATCACATATTTCTGGCATCCATTAGATATTCATCGCTGAGATCCATTTTCTCTGTTCGGCTTTATATTATTCATCATAATACCGAATTTATGACCCTATAATGTCTACGCAAGATAGCATTTTTATTACACAGCAAATCTAAATGGCACTTTTGCCATACGACTGAACAAGACGTTATTAATTTTTACCGAGTAGCACAGAAAGCGAACATATATTACTTTCCCTATCCTTCCGTCGCTCTTCAGTCCCTTCGAAAGATCATAAATATACTATATGTTAGATACGAATTGCTCTTATAAAACATTCATGTGAGGTAGTTTTTGCATAATAATTAAGAGATGTTTTATTTATTACTGTTGCTATCCATATGACTCACCGCGTCATCGCGTACAGATATTATGTTCCATATATTGATTTATAATTACAAACGGAAATTTGTTGCCCGGGATATGAACACTCGAAAGAGGAGAACTTTTAATCACCGACAAATAATAATGTAACAATATTTTAACAGAGGCTATGAGATTTTTAAAGATAACTTTTTAACATTTTAATGTTCTTATGTATAAATAAATAATAAAAATAACGATTATATTTGTCATCGTTATCAAAAAATCTAATTACATCATTGATTACTAATTACATCAATATTATCGTTGCTAGCAAAAAAGACAAAAGAAATAATATCTTTATTAAGCTACTGCTGAAAAAAAGTAACTTACAATTGTAGTGGCAACTTTCAACCCCAATTTCAATACGTTATTTTAGACGACAAATCAGCACAATGATTATTTAGGATAATCATATGGGTATCGCTGTCGAAGAGAAATGCACGATAAAAGGCGTGAATATCAACAGATATTTTAAGTTATTTAGAAATGGATTTTTGGATATATTTAGTTTCGTGCGTTGCGCTATTATTTGCGCGACTGTATCAGCACATTAAAGAGCGAATATGACATCTTAAGTACCTGTAACAGTTGTATGCAATTGAAAAATATGTCATGCGTGCGCATGGATTTACGTGAATTTGATGTTAATCGCGTAAGGCGATAACACAATAATTATACAAACCGCTACGAAAGACTCGAGATTCATTGGCATGTGCGTGCTAGTAAATTCGATAGGTATTGTCGCACGATTCATGATCATTAAGAGACCCTTCTTCATGTTGTCATCAAGCATCGTCCACTCCATATTGTAAATATTATCCGATAATTGCAAGCTCTACAAGTAAATAGCACAGTCTCGTGTGAAATTTGTTTCATTTACTTCTTAATTAACCAATGTCGATCGCATAATTTTCCTCAAATAAAATCGATTATTTTTCATAAAATGAATTATGTGAATAATTGAAAGAAGTGACCTCCACCTTTAGCTTGAGCTCGTTGCCGAACCAACAATAATAGAAAATTGCTGCGAGTGTAGAAGCTAGAAACATTATGCCTTGTATGTAAGCGGCACTAGACGATGTCATGGTCATATGGATTAGATCATAAGTCATTACTATCGTGACCATTGCAAATTCGCCGGGTACTATTCTCGCAAACTTTTTGTTCAACATATAAGCGTATCTAAAATCATGCAAAATACTTTTACTTAAATATTCTGCACAAGATATCTCTCTAGTAAGCACTATGTTTATTTTTACACATTTTAAAAACTCGTATAAATGCACAAAGTCTCATATTTGGTAGTACAATCGAAAAGATAATGATCATGAATAAAAAAAATATCATATAAAAAATAGTATGTGAAATAAAATTCGTTTGCTTCTAAGAAAATTGCTCCTAAAGATTGAAAGATTAATAATTTTCTGTCGTTTTAAACTTGAGTGACTTTTGACTTTTTACTTCATTCTATCATTTTTCATGTAATATTCTTTCTTTCTTTTTTCATTCGTGAATATCGAATACATGTGTATATCGTTGAGGTTCCTTTTTAATTACTTTTTTATGCCATAATGAAAATTTTAGTTAATCCGCGGACTGCTTCTTCACTCAATTATCCATAACGTTATCATTATAAATATTCGTAACATTATAATTTAATATTATTATAAATATCTTTGGCATTATCATATTATTTTTACGGCTATACTATCTAGCATATTATGTATATGTAGTATAGCATTATATATTGTAGTATAGCAAAACTATTTTAATACTTACTCGAGAATATGCATGTGATGACGTACGCAATCGCGCAGACTTTTTTGACCTTTCGCGAGATTTGATAAACGATATTCTAAGATTTCGATTTGACAGCAGATATGTAGTAATAGTCCACAAATAAGAGAGTCACTGGTAGGATGAGCGAGGCCGATGAACATTATGCTCATTACTTGATGAGTGTACGCAAAATAAAATAATGCGGAGATCGAATAGTTGAATGGTAACCACGTTTTATATAGTAATTCTCCGTTCCTGACTTGCGTAATTAATGAAAAGAAGATGACATACACAACGGATATCAGGATCAAAATTAAATAATAGAACGTATTATTCCTATAAAATAAGGAATAAAACTTGCCATGTTGATTTCTTTTTAAAATCTTATTGTATACTTGTTCCTTAATTATCATTCATTAAAAATGAAATATTAACTAAAATTTATTAAAATGTTAAAGATAAAATAGTTATATTATTTTTGTTTTTGGTAAAAGATAAATTGATAATGACGTGTTACTCATTAGTCGTTACAAATACACTCGTCAACAAAATTATCGCATAGATAAATTCATGTCAAAATTTCACACAATTTTAAATGATCATAATACCGCGAAACATTATCGTATTTGAAATATTTCTTTTTTAAAGGGTGAAGTCTGTATTTTAAGAAGCATTTGTCGGATTTTAAATTTATTCTCCTCCCTTCCCGCAGTCTTTTTAAAAGTAAAGACGTGTTATATCTCCAAAAAAATTGCACAATTTGACGTATCCTACGGGGTGGAATAAATTTTTTTCGTAAATTTCATGATAACCACCGTAAAGTATAAACTATTTCCTGCAATTTAAAAAAATAAGCACATTTGTACAATCTTTTTTCACGGAATTGTGACATTAAAGTTACGTATGCATTTTTTTTAATTGTTTAATTTGACGCACTCTACTAGGTGGAATGAATTCCTTCTATAAATTTTATGATAAACATTGTAAAATATCAACGTCCCTTGTAAATAAAAAAATAAAGAAAAGATTTGCACGACTTTCTTTCGGTGTTACGGTATATCAATGTTACCTATGCATTTTTAATCAGTTACGATCAGCATTAGCAATACCCGATGCACACCACGGAGGTTGCTGATCGGATTTTGCGCATCATGTGTGTATGTGTGCATTTTTCCCGCGCGCATTTTTCACAGCAGAGAAAAAAATCCTCTCCGTGGTGCGCATCGGGTAACGCTAATGCTGACAGTAACTGATTAAAACTACATAGGTAACATTGATACACCGTAACATCGCGGAAAAAAGTCGTGCAAATCTTTTCTTCATTTCTTTATTTGCAAGAAACGTTGATATTTTATCATAAAATGTTTGTCGTAATGTTTATCGTTGATGTTTATCATAAAATTTGTAGAAGGAATTCATTCCACGCAGTAGAATGCGTCAAATTAAACGATTAAAAAAAAATGCATACGTAACTTTGATATGTCATAACTCCGTGAAAAGAAACCGTATAGATCTGCTTTTTTTTAAATTGCAGGGAAAAGTTTATACTTTACGGTGGTTATCATGAAATTTACGGAAAAAATATGTCCTACTCCGTAGGATAAATAACATCATTTGTATATGTATGTGTCATTAATAAATAACGTCAAATTGTGCCATTTTTTTGGAGATGTAACATGTCTTTACTTTTGAAAACACTGCGGGAAGGAAGGAGAATAAATTCAAAATCCGACAAATGCTTCTTAACCTTTAGAGGACCGCAGTTGTTTTCTCCGACTTTTTTATTTTAAGTATTATAACTTTATTATTAACATCATTGGGTTGAATGACGAAAAAGATGGCGCCACTTTCGCGCCAATATATTGGCTTCCGGTCCGGAAAATAATCAGGATCCTTTTTTTTAGTTTTTCAACTTAATGTTATTAGATATTATTAAAATAATTATTTAACATCATTTTAGAGAAAAAGTTTGACAAATAACATGTATAAAAATGTTTGTACCGCAATTTATGAAATAGAAGGCAGTCAAAATGCATTATATTAAGAGGCACGGTAGTGTCTATATTACGCGAAACTGCGAATTGAAACGAAATGAGATATTCATATCTCGGCAATGGCTGAACCGATCGAGGTTTTTCTAGTCCCAATCGATTCGGCCTTAAAAAATAGGAAAAAAGTGTTCTTATGCTTTTTGTATACGTTATCTCTAAGTGGAAGCATTTTAAGATAAAGTCTGAATCACGGAAAATTTCGATTCAGCAAGAAACGTCGAACGCAAAGGAATGGGGATATGCGTGCACATTGCTTTCCTGACACCAGTAATGCGATTCTTTAACTCGTTATTGGAGTTAACGACAGTTTCGTTAACTCCAATAATGAGTTAAAGAATCGCGCCGCAGGAGCGCTACGAGAGCGTTGAAGAAGCAGATAGCAGTGAATGCGAGTGAGTAAGCGAGAGATATGCTAGAATACAGTATAGGAGAAATTGTGGAAAGAGAGAGAGAGGGGGGAGGGAGAGAGAGAGAGAGAAAGAGAGAGAGAGAGAGAGAGAGAGAGAGAGGAAATGCCTGAAGATAATAATGTGAGAATATTGTTAAGCATGGTATGTTGTGTCGCCCGTCATTTGATTACCGGTCAGCTGATGCTGAGCAGACGATATGATAGGCCATGCCTGAAAATTGAAAAATCAAAATCGAAAAATCAATAAATAAGTATCATTTTAAAGGTTATTCAAGAAAGGGTATTCAAGAAAGGGTATTCAAGAAAAACCTAACGACAAGAAATGTACGTAATATAAGTTTTTACATGTAAAATTTATAAAACTTACCTTTTTAATCAAAAAGGTAGAAAAGGCGCCAAGTACAACCGCAACACGTATTGTATTATTTTTAGAAATTTCAAATTCAAATTATTTTTTTTAAGGTATACATGTGTACATAACAAGTTTTTACAAATAAAACCTATATAAAATTTACCTTTTTAAAGAAAAAGGTAAAAAAAGGCGCCAACTACAAGCGCAACACGTATTGTGTTATTTTTAGAAATTTCAAATTCAAATTATTTTTTTTAAGATATATATGTGTACATAACATAAGTTTCTACAAGTAAAATTTATAACTTTAATAAAACTCTGTAATACTATTCTACTGTACAAAAGAAGTGATATATTAAAACAGTAGCGCCAACTGAGAAACCTAACATATATATATTAGGAGCGCAAAAAAGTTCTGAGTCTTTTTTTGCAAAATTCAAAATTTATTTAAAAACAAACAAAACTATATTAATCAACGAAATATTCCCCGTTTGCATCGATGACCTTTTGCCATCTTTCGTGCAGCTTGCGAATTCCCTGATGGTAGAAGCTCACCGGCTTCGAGGCGATAAAGTCATCAATGCATTTTCATATCTCTTCAAGTGTCACAAAATGTGTATCGGCCAAGAAATGCTGCAGAGACTGGAATAGGTAGTAATCGGAAAGCGCCATGTCTGGGCTATACGCCGCGTGCGGGAGAAGTTCCCAGCCTAACGCAAAGATATGGTCCTGAGTCACTTTCGCAACATGTGGTCGGGCATTGTCATGAAGCAGTATCACTTGACGACGCCCTTTGCCAGTAAATGGCCTCTTTTCTTCAAACGCATCGCTCAAATTGCTTAATTGTTGCTGATAGCGATCTGCCGTTACTGTTTCACCCGGCTGTAACAACTCGTGATACAGTACACCTTTCCAATCTCACCATATGCAAAGCAAAACTTTCTTGGCGTGGATATTGGTCTTTGGCGTCGATGTCGAAGGTTGACCAGGGTCAACCCATGATTTTTTACGCTTTGGATTATCATAAAGTATCCACTTTTCATCACCTGTAATGATTTGGCAGAAAATCCTTTTTCCGGAACCTTGAAAGCAAAGTGTGTGCCGTGTCACGCCGTCCATTTTTGTTGTCTTCGGACAGTGCATGCGGAACCCATCTGCTTTCCTTTTGAACTTTTCCCATTGCATGTAAACGTGTGGAAATGGCTTGTCGCGTAACGCCAAGTTGCTCTGCAAGCTCCTTTTCAGTTTGTGCAGAGTTTATATCCAACAATGCTTGCAGTTCCTCCGTTTCAATCTTTTGAGGGCGTCCAGCACGCGGTTCATCTTCAAGACTGAAATCTCCTTGGCGAAATTTTTGATACCACCTTTTACACGTAGCATAACTTACAGCGTTCTCTCCATATGCAACACAAATCATTTCAGTGGCTTCAGCAGCATTTTTCTTCAGATGAAACGCGAAGTGGATGGAAAATCGAATATGCTCTTTTGTTATTGCCATCGTGAACACTGCTGATTTTAAGGTTATGTGCATCAAACGCCAAATCGCACGATGTTTCGAAAGACTAAATGTCACTGCTTTAAAACCGCAAAAGGGCGGGAAAATTAATGCAATTTAAATTGTGGTTTCAGTAGTATGAAATCTAGGGCTCAGAACTTTTTTGCGCTCCTACATAACATAAGTTTTTAAAAGTAAAACTTATACAAAAAAAGTGATATATTAAAACAGTAGCGCCAACTGAGAAATCGTATACTTAATATTTTTAGAAATCTCAAATTCAAATTATTTCCTTTTTTTAAGATATATATTATGTACATAACATAAGTTTTTACAAGTAAAAATGATATCATGTTATAAAAATTTAACACGTTTATTAGTAGTGTCCAATATTTAATTTATCATTATTTATTATAACACTGAGTTATATGATTATTTTACTTGTTATTATAATGTACTTAACATAACTTTTTATAAGTAAAAATGATATCGCGGTATAAAATTTTAACACGTTTATTAATAGTGTTCAATATTTAAAAAAGATATCTTTTAAAAGGTTATTATTACAAATTCAAATTATTTTTTTTAAGTATATATGTGTACATAACATAAGTTTTTACAATTAAAACTTACACAAAAGAAGTGATATATTAAAACAGTAACGCCAACTGAGAAATCGTATACTTAATATTTTTAGAAATCACAAATTCTAATTATTTCCTTTTTTTAAGATATATATTAATTATGTATATAACATAAGTTTTTACAAGTAAAAATGAAATTTATTAGAACACTGAGTTATATGATTATTTTACTTGTTATTATAATATACATAACAAAAGTTTATACAAGTAAAAACGGTATCGTGTTATAAAAATTTAACACGTTAATTAATAGTATATAAAATTTAAAAAAGATAGCTTTTTAAAGGTTATTATTATTCAAAAAAATTCAAGAAAAACTAACTACAAAAGATGTCAATAACATAAATTTTTACAAAATTTATCATTATTTATTAGAACACTGAGTTATATGATTATTTTACTTGTTATTATAAAAATTAATTATTATAACAGTGCAATAAAAAATATTTAATACAAAAAATCTTGGCGCGGCTGCACCAAAAACTATATCGAATTAAAACTTGTTTAATACATACATGACAGTATTTTTATTATAATATAATGTACTTGTAAATTCTCTATCTATATATACAGTGTAATGTTTTATATCTAATTTGACTTTTATGTATATACATCTTCGATATAGTTTTTGGTGCCGCGCCAAGATTTTTTGTATTAAATATTTTTTATTGCACTGTTATAATAATTAATTTTTATAATAACAAGTAAAATAATCATATAACTCAGTGTTCTAATAAATAATGATAAATTTTGTAAAAATTTATGTTATTGACATCTTTTGTAGTGAGTTTTTCTTGAATTTTCTTGGATAATAATAACCTTTAAAGAGATATCTTTTTAAAATATTGGACACTATTAATAAACGTGTTAAATTTTTATAACACGATATAATGTTTATTAACTTATGTTAAAAACTTATGTTATATAAATTATAATAACAAGTAAAATAATCATATAACTCAGTGTTCTAATAAATATAATTTTTACTTGTATAAACTTATGTTACATACATAATAAATATACAGGGTGAACGATTAATCTGAAGACATTGAAATATCTCGAGGACTATGCATTGGATAAAAAAAGTGGTTAATGAAAGTTGTTAGCCTCGAAGGGGGACATCCAATGATACCAAACTCGACCTCCTACCCCACCCCCTGGGGGTGGGGGTTGGGGGCAACTTTGAAATCTTAAATGGAAACCCCCATTTTTTATTGCAGATGCGGATTCTACGCCACAAAATATGTAAATTTTGTCCGAAACTTTTTTTTTTATTCGTGATAGATGGCGCTGTAATCGCAAAAAATTATATTTTCCGCAATTCTCCAGAAATGATCATTGGATTGAGAGATAAAAAATACCTGTTCAATATTTTTAAAAAACATAATAAAAGTTATTCCCCCCATCCTCTCGGGGTAGGGTGGGTGGTAACGTTCAAATCTCAAATGGGAACCCGAATCGAAGAGGGAACTGCTCGACGCGCCACTATGGGTGTATGGCGAACTACGGCTTATTATAAAAGGCAGTGCAATGCGGTCAGAGCTCACTATAAAATAAATAACTATAAAAAAACTATAAAACTATAAAAAATAAAATAACTTTTATTATGTTCTTTAAAAATATTGAGCAGGTATTTTTTATTTCTCAATCCAATGATCATTTCTGGAGAATTGCGGAAAATATAATTTTTTGCGATTACAGCGCCATCTATCACGAATAAAAAAAAAAGTTTCGGATAAAATTTACGTATTTTGTGGCGTAGAATCCGTATCTGCAATAAAAAATGGGGGTTTCCATTTAAGATTTCAAAGTTGCCCCCAACCCCCACCCCCAGGGGGTGGGGTGGGAGGTCGAGTTTGGTATCATTGGATGTCCCCCTTCGAGACTAACAACTTTCATTAACCACTTTTTTATTCAATGCATAGTTCTCGAGATATTTCAATGTCTTCAGATAAATCGTGCACCCTGTATATCTTAAAAAAAGGAAATAATTACAATTTGAGATTTCTAAAAATATTAAGTATATGATTCCTCAGTTGGCGTTACTGTTTTAACACGATATAATGTTTACTTGTAAAAACTTATGTTATGTACATTATAATAACAAGTAAAATAATCATATAACTCAGTATTCTAATAAATATCATTTTTACTTGTAAAAACTTATGTTATGTATTGGGTGAGTGCAAAAGTTCGTGCGGAGTTTCAATAGATGGAGTTGTAAGCGTCGTAAAGTGTTGTCATTAATACTTCCATCTACATATTATATAACGTTGGAAAGGTGACGTCTTCAGCTGTTATTAAAAAAAATTCATTTGTTTTCATACAAACTGCTTCGAGAAATATCACTTTAAAAATGAGTATCGATAAGGTGCATTTACGGCATGTTATGCTTTACGAGTTTCGGAAGGGAATAAACGTTGCAGCAGCCGTAAAAAACATTCAGGATGTTTATCAGGATGAAGCACCAGCTAAACGAACTGTGGAAAAATGGTTTGCTAAATTTCGGCGCGGAGAATTTAACCTTGAAGACGAGCCACGCTCTGGTCGACCTTCTGACATTGATGACGATGTTTTGCGTACTTTAGTGCTCAATAATCCGCGAATTTCAACAGAAGAAGTTGCTACAGCACTAAACGTTGACCGATCAACCGCTTTTCGGCGTTTAAAAAAGATGGGATTCGATTTGAAGCTCGATATATGGGTGCCCCATTTGCTGA